GATCACAGGACACATCACTCCTGAAGAATAGGTCAATATATGACACAGGATGGCCTAACAAGTTTTGCTTGTAAACTGAGCTCCAATATATGGCTGCAGAAGTTTTTCTAATGACTAAAGCTCTTGTCTTGCAGGCATTGCACTTTAGCAAAGAAGTATTCATTATCTAAATAAACAAAGAAGCTGAAACTGCAGGCCATCCTGAACACTTGGAGAACCCCTAAACAGCTAGTCTTGGCACCCCGGGGTTTAAAGACAACACACTCCTTTTTGATAATCCATTCATAGGTCAGATATCCAGGTAAAAAAACCAAAACCAAAACAAACAAGCAGATGTTCCATCTCCTCTAAGATAATCTGCCAGTGCAGCCATGACTTTTTGACTATATTTAGGTTTACAGAGTAGTTGAAGGGAAAGACCGCAAGGGACAGGAGTCCTGGTTTGTCATAAACTGCAAGTACTGGTTTGGAAACAAATTAATATTATATAATCAGCTTCACTAGCTAGGTAATCTCTTGGTGTGAGCTTAGGACAGCACAAGGAGCAAAGGCACATCAGTCTCTATTTGATGCTCTTTGTAGAATTCCTGGACCACAGAAGTCATCCACATCACACCTTGAGAAGGACCTCAAAAGCATCTCATAATCTGTGGACATGGATTTAAAGGAAAATGGAGATGTCTCAGAAGCAGAGCTCCTTGGAATCCACAGATCTTTCGCATGAGCACCTTATTCTAATGTAAGACCTTTTCCTTTCATTCAAGATAGTTGTAACTGACTCTGTGGAGTTTTAGCACAGTGACTGAAGGCTTATGATGAGCTTCCATGATGAATTCTGTGGAACGGTTCAGTTGCAAACAGGATAAATCAAATCATACCTTCACAACAGCTGGAGCAAAGCAGTTAATAAAAAGACAGGAATCAGACCAGTACCTCCAAGAGTTCAAGCTCAAGTGTTGTCTGGGGGATGTTTCCCCCTCCCCTTCCTGCCACTACGCTATTGCTTCAAGAGGGTCATGACAGCACAGACATCACTGATGAGGTTGGAAGGACTAGTGGATACTCTAGGGATACACCAACCGTTCACATGTTTCTCCCAAACATGCAACATAGAGCAGCTCATCCATGGTATTATCAATATCTAACTGAGATGGAATCTGAAGTCAATAAAGGACACATATTGTACAGACTCCAAGAACATCTATCCCAATATACTCCAAACTGGAAGGAAACATAAATTCAGCACTTCTTCCATGACTGTGCCACTGGAATAAAGGATACTTTTCTGTAAGAATCCGTACATAACAGATGTGGCTGAAGAGAGAACTGCAAAGGAAAAATGGCCTCACATACCAATAGGAGCACCCCTTCCAAAAAGAATAATTTAATGCAGAAAGGGTGTCACAAGAATTATCATCTGGGGGTCTTGACATGGGAGACCCAGGTAATTCAGAACACCTCTGAAGCTGAAAAGATCTGGGAGTGTGGAAAAGCACTGCATTCTATGCAGTCGGATAGGAACAAACCCTAGAAGTTACTATAGAGGGGCTGCAGAGACACATTCAGAGTCAGAACAACTGCATGCCATCACTCAGACAAAACCAGCTTCCATTTTATTTGGGAGAATTAATATTTACTACTATATTATACTCAGTTACTGATTAGAAAATTAAATATTTATGGAATGAGTTAAGTCTGCAATAAATCAGAAAAAGTTAAAGTAACTGTCTTTCCTGCTACTCTGTTTCACCCATCACACTTTTTTGGCAAAGACATCATCTACAGTACCACCCAAAATTGTTGCAGGCATTTAATGCCCATCTTTTCTTCTCCTGAGGACCAGAAGCTACACCAATGTGCCTGCTGGCATCTGTAGCAAGACATCCAGTCAAAAATCGTGTAAAATTCTTCCAGCCCATTTACAGCTGTGTATCACTAAAATGGTGGAAGTCAACTTCAATTACTCCACTGCATTTCTGAACATCAGAACCGTTCTTTCTAAGATTGAAGAATAGAGGCTTTCCAAACGTGTAACCAAGATCCAAAATACAGAACAAGAAAAAGAACTGATGAAAACAGCTGGTTTGGTATCTATGAAGTTTTCCAGAACCTGGTTCACATGTCAGCACATCTGTCTAATATTTACAGTGCTACCAAGATGGAGTAGGCCGAACAAGGGCCAAATTAAAAAAAAAAAAGAAAAAAAAAGGTACTATGAAATCTTCTTCAGTGAGTCATTCAAACAGTATAGCTTCCAAGGTCTGTTATTTCAAACTTAAATCCACATATCCACTGAGCTGAAGCCAACTCTTTAAAAAGAACAAAAAGACCAGATATTGGCAAGTCAGGTATCATTTCCTTATTTTTTGTGTATCAAAGACATAAGGACAAACACGTTTTGATTATCATAAAGCACCAAACCCACTGCTAGAATATTTACTACCACAGAAACATCATAATAACTTCAGTAGTTTAAGTCAAAGATCTCTTGGGTTTGGGGAAAAAAAAAAAAGAAGTCTTGATCTCATTTTTTTCGTGTATCATTCTGCTGGAAGTCCTGATGCTAGATTTTCAATTAGCTACACAACACAGCGTTATTTTTTTCCCCAAAAGTGAACTGTCCATCTGCAACTTCCTCCTTGATCAACATGCTCTGCTCAAAAAATCTATAGTACCAATAACTAAGCAAGCAAACAACTATTTCTCGCTGGTTATGAGCAGGTATTGCCCCCAGTGATAAATACAGGTGTCATTTAATGAAGAAGGACCAGCTAGTGATGAAAGTAAAAATGCTTAATAGCACCTACCCACAGTATTACGTGTCACCAAAGGCAGATTTACGATCACAACATACCTCAGTCATGAAAAGAAGTGAGACTGGTCACTTCTGTCTCCATAGTATCTTTACATAATCCTGCACCTAACTAAAAATCAAACATGGCTATGACTCCACTCTACCACTACACCTTATGAGGTGAGTTATCCCCCCAAAAATTGCAGAACTGTGCTAAATTTGTGGACTCTTAAACCCTGCCAAAAGAGGAGAAACCACTCTTATCAGAGCAGGAGTTTGCATTGCCATGGGACAAGGACAATACAGGAAATCTTGTAATGACATAATAGCAGAAATGACACAAGGTTTGCTGCTGTACCAAACAATTTAAAACTCAAGAGGCTTGTCTTCTGATTTGTCACTGAATGGTCAGTAATCCCACCGACTTGTCTCTGGACAAATCTGAGGCCCTCAGTTCCTCCTCTGTTCCACAGTCGGGGGAGCTGCAGCATTTATAACACCCACAAGAGGCACCACCTTTAGTGCAGCTTAACCTCAAAATTCGAAAGGGGTTTCTTACTCCTACCAACAGTACAACAGTTTGGCTGGACTGCTATTGTAACCCTGTCTTGGTAAAATGATGTTTGAACACATCTGTATGCAGATGTCCCTCATGCTTTGAAGACCACCATTCCCCCACCTTTGAAAGGTAGCTGACCCTGTGCCTTAAAACAAATCCTTTAGGGCAACACTTTATCACTGTATCCCACACCTTCCAATAATGTTGTTTGCTTGAAAAGATTTACCGGTATAAGCCTAAGAGAAGAAATGAACAACACCAAGGTGGATGAACACTCTGTAATTTGTTCCAGAAACTTGGTAAATTTCAGCTGGGGTAGCACATCATAGAATCATCCAATGGTTTGGCTTGCAAGGGACCTTCAAAGACCATCTAGTCCAACATCTTGCAAGAAACGAGGCTGCTGAAAGCTCTGTTCAACCTGATCTTAAACATTTCCAATCATGGGGCACATAGCTTCTTTGGAAAACCTGTTCCACTCTCTCATCACTCTTATAATATAAAATTTTTTCCTTACACCCAGTCTAAAGCTATATTTCAGTTTAAAACTGTTGACCCTTGTCCTGGGCCCTGGTAACAAATCTTTCCCCATTTTTTCTTATTCAGCCCCTTTAGGTACTGAAAGGCCACAGCAAGGTATCCCTGGAGCCTTCACTTCTCCAGACTGAACAATCCCAATTCTCATCACCTGTCTTCATAGGAGAGGGACTCCAGCCCTCTGACCATTTTTGTGGCTCCATCCTTAACCGTAAAGCCTAGCACATCCCATCAAACTTCACTTCAACAACTCCGTGGGATTGTCTAAAGAAGTACAGAAAATCAGCGTGGGGAGTGCTGAAACCAAAAAGTCTTCCAATCCCGTGGTCTGTCTGAGGATCCATTTGCCAGGCTACTGAACCAGGTCCAGGTATCTTAAAATTGCTACTGCGTGTGAGGATATTGTTAAATTTTAGTTCTCTGGAGCCCTCCAGTGGAACGAACTCAGGAACGGCCACGAAACGCATGAAACAGCACAAATATCCCGCAAATACATTTCATCCGCAGGAGCCAAGCTGCTGACACAGCCAACTACCGAATCCCGGTGCACATGTTGCTTCCCTAACTGGGTTACCGGCTAAAACAAGCGAACACTCTCCCCTGCGCACCCGGCGGCTCCTCCGGCACGGCCGGGCCGGGTGCGCGCTCCCAGCATCCCAGACTCCCGGAATCCCTGTCCCCGCGGGCCGCGCGCTCCGCTCCGGCCTCTCCTGGTGCCCCGTGCCGGGGCGGCCCCGGGGCATGCGCAGTGCGGGCAGCGGCCCGTGCCCACCGGGACCCCGGGGCGGGGGGGGCACAGCACGGGGATCCCGAGGGGGTCCCGCCGGCCCCCCCCCCGCAGCCGCGCATGCGCAGCGCGCCGCCCCCCCACACCTCCCGGGGGGCGGCAGGGGAGGGCGAGCGGCTCTAGGCTCGTCCCTTCTCGTCCAGGCCGCCGGTTCCCGCTGGCAGTGCCGCCAGTTCCTCACGCCTGGCGAGCGGCTGCCGCCGCCGCGGCGCGCGGCGCCCTCCCGGCTCGGCTCGGAGGAAGAGCGAAGGGGGAAGATCGGGTCAGCGACACCCGCGTGCCCCCCGGAAGCGCTGGCGAGCACAGCCCGCCCCGCTACTTACGCTCTCCCCCGCCTCCCGCCGCCGGTGCCGCCGCTCCGCGGCCGCGCTGCCCCCGTTCTCGCTCCCCGTCTTCACGGACAAGACAATATGGCGCCCGCTGCCGCGCACCCGGAAGTGAAGCGTGTAACGGTGCTGACCCTCGCCTGCCATACATGGACGCCTGTCCCGCCATCTTTGCTGAGGGCTCGCGGGCAGCCGGGCGGTTCTTCCCCTTTCCTTTCCCCCATCTTTAGTTCCCTTCGCCATCTTTAGTTCGGGCAGCGCCGGCAGTCGCTGCCGCTGGCGGCTCTCCATGGCAGCCGAGGCGGGGCAGGAAGGCGGGGACGCTCCTGCCTGGAAGCCGTGCGGAGAACTCCAGTCCCCGGCTGCGCTAATGTCGAAAGACCCATGGGAAGCTCATCAGCTCCGTGGCCTCCGCAGGTGATCTAACTGGTGGTCAGAGAGTCCGATCCGTGTTTCCAGTGCGGAGGGCGGAGTCCACATGAAGAGGTACATAAAGCTGGTGTACGAAGACATAAGTGGTGTAAGTGGACAGACTCAGTGCAAGGATCCTACATTGAAATACACAAGTAACTTCAGTATTGCACAGCTGCAGAGTGTCAGCATGCCAAGTCAGGTCAGTGTATGTGTATATGGAGCGTTCGTGGAGCAGGACAATTGTCTAAGTAGTTTATTCTCAATATCCAGATTAACTTTAAAGTTATCGTGAGATCTACCTTGAAATTTTCCTAGTTTAATGGTTAAAGATACACCAAAATCACCCGTAGCAAACGGCAAAGCTCTTCTTCTATGGACACTGGGGATGATCCCGTAGGGAAGGACTGAGTGGTTGCATTCGTTTGTGGGACAGGGATTTTCATTAGCTGGCACATTATTTACCACTGTGATCACTGCCTTCCCCTTCCTTTAGTGTCACGGATGTAAATGCCTAAAACATCCACAATCTCTCTGATCATTGCATAAAGTAAACATTAACACTCACACGGAGTAACAGAGTAAGTTACCCCCTATAAATCTATAAAAAATCAAAAGCTTCAAGAAACTTTTGTATTGATTTCAGTGTAAGATTTGTCGGTGCCACTTATGCTACATGTTACTGTTATTTGGAATGTTCTGGACTTTTCCCTTTCTGTGTCGCAAGGAATGGCAGGATCGAGAAGGCTTTCTATGGACAGGAGTGTTGCAGAGGTCATCTGTCCAGTGATGACTGACACAACAGGGAACCAAGTTCCAGGTTCCATCTGGAACCATGGAGTGGTGCTTATAGATGGGCAAGCTTTCAGCCACTACTGAAACTGGGAATGTGAGGGAGCCCCACTCTTGGTCCTGGTCTTACCACAGAATTACAGAACTCAGTTCTTGTAAAGGGAACAAACTGTGTCTTAATCTGTGCCCTGTGCCACAGATGGCAAGCCAGGGGAAACAAGCCAGGTAGCTTAAGTATTCAAGGATACGGACTCATCTCTAGGGAGCTCTTCCATGGGCAGTGACGTTGTCATACAAGATGAAAGGAAAAAATATGTGAACTCAGTTGTACAACAAACAGCTTATAAACAATGTAATTTTCCAAATGGCTGGATGTTTTATTCACGTTTGTCAAATACTATATAACAGAAGAAAAGACAAAATTAATAGATGACAAATGGCAGCTTTACTCTGAGAAACTTGTTAAAGCACCTCGGATAGACTGGAAAACTGATCAGACTTGTGTTTGTTTTTTAAATACAGTCTGTAAGACCCTGTTTACTTAGTAATATTTGGAATTAGAAATCTACATATAAAATGCATCATGTATCAGTACTGTAGTAGAATTCTAAAAATACTATTTGTTACTTAAATACCTGCAGAGAAGAGACAGACTATTGGTTCAAACATATGAGAAAAAGGAAATGAATGAAAACAAAATGAAACTTTTTATTGCTCACAAGTATTTTGGACTTAGCAACAGGGTTTTTGATTAATTGGATTGTCTTTTGTATAAGTACAGCCACACATGAACATATCAGGGATTATCCCTATGCATAAATGACAGTAGAATCAGAACTCAACTTTGTGGAATGGCTAAATAGGGAATGGCAGCCATTGACATGGTGGTTTCATTACAGTTCACTGCAATGATCCCTAGGTTACACAGCTGAAAACCAAAAAACCCCCTAAGCTAGCAAAGAAATGAGGCAATTGTTAAGAACTCATAAGCCTACTCAAAACAAGTGCTTTTCTGTTTTCTTTTAAAAGCAGCACTAGAAAAATACTGGAAACTGCCATAGATTTAAGAAACATTCTTGACACTTAAAAAGTTAGTTTTTCTACTGCTATCCATGAAGACAAAAGTATTTATAACTTTATATAAGTGAAATGTATATCAAGTAGCCTTGAAGTAATTGCAATGCATTGCAAATGTTGTAACATAAAAATTCACTTAGACTTTTTATATAATCTTGTGCAAGGGAAGTGCTTTGACTTGCACTAACAAACATCCAGCTGAAAATACATTTTATAATCTCCCTTTACAAAAAAATAGATTATGAATCACTTTGAATAATCAGTTTACCTCCATTTCTGCTGTTTGTTTATACACCAACGGGAAAGGTACAAACAGGTAGAACAGCTGGCAAAATGACAGCCTAAGACATGATAAATAGATACAGAAGAAACAATAATCCATTCTAAAATAATTAGAATGAAATAGTTCTACAGAAAATCGGTGGCATTTCTTTCACATGGATATGTAAATCCTTGTACAGATGCAAAAGAGTGTCCAGCTGTTGAAAACTGAGGAATATCAGATCTTTGTTTAATCAAGGCTGCTGTAAAGCTCTTTTCTCAGGTGTGCTATTTTCATTAAAATTGGATTTGTTAATTTTTCCTAACAGAAGAGTTGTATTCAAATGCTTTGTTCCTATTTTAATACATCTTAGTTTCTCCTCAAGAAAATATTCCTTTCCAAATCTTAGTTTGTTACCAGTATGTTCAAATAAGATTTTTATAGTGGGTTGAGAATGTAGATGCATTAATTTCATGTCCCCTTCTGATTCAGTTTCTGTTGGTATAAAAAAGAAGTCCAAAGAGAAGCAAATGGTGAAGCTAAGACATTTCAGCCTTTTAATGAATTTATAAACCACTCTCACCTGCTACCACTCGAAATCCGTAAGCAAGAGCACTTCACTGATACACACAGAGGGTGCAGATGGGGAAGGGGAGGAAGGTTTGGCAGACTGCGTGGATTTCATTTTCTAAACCAAGGCAATTACAGTGTGTACATTTTGGGCAGGAAAGTTCAGGGTTTGTTTTGTTTTTCCTTCACCACTATTTGTAGCCCTCTCTTAGGAGAATAGACTTATGCAAACGTGATGTCTGTACATGTACTGGTGTAGGTGGGTTACTATAATTAAATTTCCCATCACGTTTTGCCACATTTGGCATAAATTATGTATAAATCCAAAGATAATAAAGTTCTTTCTGAGGAAAAAGGATTTATAATCTGTACTAACTCCTTAGTTGATGCAGCAGACTTTGTTGATGCCTCTGTTTTGGATAAACTTTTGTAGGGGGTTTCAATTGTCCATATGCAAATCAAGTACTTCCCATAAATGAGGTTTACTTAGTGAGGAGTGAGGAAATACTTAATTTGCATTCTTCTTCATTGTTTTAAAGGTGCTGTCTTGTGACTGGTCAGCAGAGAGTTGCTCAGGTCTCACAGCTTTTCTCAATTACCTGTATTGCAGTCTGTAGGCAGAGCCAGTGTGGTGGTAGGGACAGGCCAGATTTCAGCTACAGTAGCTCTTCCTGTAAGAGCTTTGTGAGTTCACAGAAAACAAGAGATGGGACTGGGAACCACTATATAATGGCTGAGGATCAATGAAAGGAAAAACATTGACACAGAGGCTTACGGAGACCCTGAAAAAAAAAAGAACAGATGAGGCTGATGAAGAAAACATCATTGCCCTTGTGAGAAGGGTAGTACAAAGAGAAAGCCATTTTGAAGCTATTCCACCTGAAGATGCAGGCTACTGCACTTTCTCAGGGTGGGTGGCTACGAAAGTATGGTGTAGCTCTGTAGAGACTGTAGGCCTAAAAATATTTTTGGTTGGTAAAATGAGATATTTTAAGTAGGCTTAAACTTTCAAGCCCTTCACTTAAATTCTGAAAACATGTAGCTTTTCAATAGCATGTACACAGCTGGCAGTTGAAGGAAACTGCAAGTTCCTAGACTATAGAATTCTAGCACACAAACGGTGTACACCCCTGTTTTCCCAGAATGCTATGAGCTTCTCTTGCAGTTCCTGATAAGGAACTATAACAAGTCTTCAGTATACACATTTATATGTGTACAATCAGTTGCTTTGGAGCCAAATTTTACATACACACACCCCCACACACACCCCCAAACCTGTGTTTTAAAGGACACTGTGACTTGCATCTAAAATCCTATACGACATCTTGCATTAGTCGTAATTTTTTTCATTTTGAAGGCATAACTTCACCTGTTGCCCTCATTTTTAGAGAATATTTACATCTATAATATTTTCATACCTGTTCCTGACTTTTACTAGAGTTCCTGCTAATATTTCAACTCAAAAAGCTTCATTCAGGAGCAACAGTGATGGCTATCTTGGATAAAGGCGTTGGGTTTTTTTCGTGCCACTTTCTCTCCATGTTCTATAAAATACCTTAATACAAGGAAACATTCCCTGGCTGTTAATGAGATAATCCTGCCAGCATCTTTTATGGCATCCTAGTCAGTATGTCCACTTGGGAAAATTTCAGCTGCTCAAACAGTTTGTAAACTCCAGTTAAAAAGAAGTGAAGACCACCCCAAGAATTTCCTGAAAATAGCATTAAAAATAAGAAGTAACAGGTCAAGAACCTTGTTCTGTTTCTCTCCTGGTTTTGCAGTCTAGGGAGATAGATCTAGGCTAAAAAGTAGGAGACTGATACAGTTACTTAGGTTCAGTAGTTTTACGCAAGTCAGAAAAATGAGGAATACTCGGTCTGTCTGCTTTAAAGTGGAGGAAATAAACTCATCTGTGTTCCCCTAGCAAGATTATATCACAGAAGTGAAACTTAGTTGCTAGTTACTGTGACTGTTACCCAGAATTAGAAGTTTCAATCAGTTACA